CTTTTTCCTCTCCAACGTACGTTCACTGTACAACAAAATGGATGAACTTCAGCTACTGATGGTAAAAAACAAAGACTTTCTTTCAGCTTCTGCATTGTGCTTCACGGAAACATGGCTGTGTGATTTGATTCCGGACACTTCGCTACAACTAGCAGGATTCCATCTTGTAAGATCGGATCGTGACATAGCACTCTCCGGCAAGACGAAAGGCGGTGGTATTTGTTTTTACATTAACAGTGGCTGGTGTGTAGATGTCACAGTGATTCTGCAACATTGTTCTCCACTCCTTGAATCAATTTTTATAACCTGTAAACCGTTTTACTCGCCTCGCGAGTTCGCGTCGCTCATTTTGGTCGGAGTTTATTTGCCGCCTTGTCCTCAGGTTAAAGAGGCCCAACGCATGCTCGCCGATCAGATTCTGAGTGTGGAGCGAGCAAATCCAGATTCGTTGGTTATCGTACTTGGCGACTTTAACAAAGGTAATCTCAGCCACGAACTCCCCAAATACATACAATTCATTAAATGCCCAACCAGAGAAGGGAACACTCTGGATCACTGTTACACTACAGTCAGTAGAGCCTACCACGCCGTCCCCCGAGCAGCACTAGGACACTCTGACCATGCCATGGTCCACCTGATTCCTGCATACAGGCAGAAACTAAAACTCTGTAAACCTGCTGTGAGGACATCTAAACAGTGGACCAGTGAGGCTGTGGAAGATTTGCGGGCGTGCTTAGACTGTACTGACTGGGATATGTTCACGACTGCTACCAATAGTCTAGATGAACTCACAGAGGCTGTGACGTCCTACATCAGCTTCTGTGAGGACTGCTGTATCCCAACACGTACCAGGGTGAACTTTAACAACAATAAGCCCTGGTTCTCAGCAAAGCTCAGAAGGTTGAGGTTGGAGAAGGAGGAAGCGTTTAGGAGTGGAGATAGAGACAGATTCAAGGAGTCGAAGAACAGGTTTAGCAAAGCGGTGAGAGAGGCTAAACGACTGTACTCAGAGAGACTAAAACACCAGTTCTCTACAAACGACGCTGCTTCTGTCTGGAGAGGGCTCAGGCAGATCACCAACTACAAACCCAGAGCCCCCCACACCACTAACGACTCCCGCCTAGCCAACGACCTGAACGAGTTCTACTGTAGATTTGAAAGACAATTGGACTGTCCTGAACCACCCCTTCCAACCCAAGAGGCCCCATCCCCCACCAATACTACAGAGACGACTATCTCCTTTCAGGAGGGAGAAGTTAATAGACTTTTCAAGAGGCAGAATCCACACAAAGCAGCCGGGCCGGACTCTGTCTCTCCAGCCACCCTCAGGCACTGCGCTGACCAGCTGTCTCCGGTGTTCACCAACATCTTTAACACCTCCCTGGAGACATGCCATGTACCAGCCTGTCTCAAGTCCTCCACCATCATCCCTGTGCCCAAAAAGCTAAGGCCAACAGGACTAAATGATTACAGACCGGTCGCCCTTACATCTGTGGTAATGAAGTCTTTTGAGCGCCTGGTCCTGGCACACCTCAAAGCCATCACAGACCCTCTCCTGGACCCCCTTCAGTTTGCCTACAGAGCCAACAGGTCTGTGGACGATGCAGTTAACATGGCCCTCCACTTCACCCTACAGCATCTGGACGCCCCAGCATCCTACGCCAGGATCCTGTTTGTGGACTTCAGCTCTGCCTTCAACACCATCATCCCTGCCCTGCTTCAGGACAAGCTCTTCCAGCTGAACGTGCCATACACCACCTGTAAATGGATCACAGACTTCCTGTCTGACAGGAAGCAGTGCGTTAAGCTGGGAACACAAGTCTCTGGCTCCAGGTCCATCAGCACCGGAACTCCTCAGGGCTGCGTCCTTTCCCCTCTGCTCTTCTCCCTGTATACCAACAGCTGCACCTCCAATCATCTGTCCGTCAAACTATTGAAGTTTGCGGATGACACCACCCTCATTGGGCTGATCTCTGGTGGGGATGAGTCTGACTATAGGTGGGAAGCTGACAATCTGGTGACCTGGTGTAGCCAGAACAACTTAGAGCTAAATGCTCTAAAGACAGTTGAGATGGTTGTGGACTTCAGGAAGAATACAGCACCACTCACCCCCATCACCCTGTTAGACTCCCCAGTAAAAATTGTAGAGTCCTTCCGCTTCCTGGGCACTATTCTCTCCCGGGACCTCAAGTGGGAATTGAACATCAGCTCCCTCACCAAGAAAGCTCAACAGAGGATGTACTTTCTACGGCAGCTGAAGAAATTCAACCTGCCAAAGACAATGATGGTGCAATTCTATACAGCGATCATTGAATCCATCCTCACCTCCTCCATAACCGTCTGGTACGCTGCTGCCACTGCCAAGGACAAGAGCAGACTGCAGCGTATCATCCACACTGCTGAGAAGGTAATTGCCTGCAATCTACCGACCCTCGAGGACCTGCACACGACAAGGTCTATGAGGCGAGCGAGGAAGATTATGGCCGATTTCTCCCACCCTGGACACTCTCTGTTTCAGCTACTCCCCTCCGGCAGAAGGCTTCGGTCCATCAGGACCAAAACCTCACGCCATAAAAACAGTTTCTTCCCATCTGCTGCTGGCCTGTTAAACAAGGCCAAGGGCTAACACTGTTTTTAACATTTGATCTACATAACGACACGTTGCTGATATTAACTATGTTTCCCTATTTGTATTTTTAAATTATATCTTAAAGCTATTTTATATTCGATATTTATTTAATTTTATATACTTCAGCCCCTTAGTGTTAGACTTTTAACCCTTATTATAGTAAGACTTGTTTAAAACTTATTTAAGATTTTAGATTCCTATATGTTGAATGTATGCACCATCCTGCCAAATTAAATTCCGTGTCGGTGTGAACTTACATGGCGAATAAAACCCTTTCTGATTCTGATTCTGAGTGTAGATTGTGTTATGTTACGTAGCATTGTGTAAATAAAGTGTTGCTCCTAAGATAACGTCTGCGACTCAGTTGGACTCACTACAAATGTACACGTGATAAGGGGCCATCCATTTAGTACGTACACATGGAGGGGGGAGGGGGGGTTAACCCAAATGCGTACGCTTGCGTATGGGGGGGTCTACCGACAATGTACATACGCATAGGAAACGGGGGGGGGGGGGGGGGGTGAAGCTTACTTAATAATTTGTCTACATTGGCCTTCAAATGAGTTAGATAGTTCGGCGGTGGACTATCTGTTTGCTTAAACACGTTAATATTATTCATCCTTGATCGGTTCTGCGTGGATTAAATATCGGCCGTTCTAAAGGGACTAGCTTGTTTGTCCGTCCGAGGACGGAAGCTGAAATATTAAAGATGTACATTGAGGTTTTCTTGTGTGATTTACCCGCTCATGATTATTAATGACGGGGGGAGGAGGCTGTTTTGCAGTGACGTCACGTACGGATGTAGCAGTGTGCTGCGTATATTTTTTGTACCGTCACTTTCTGTAAATTAACATCATATTTGAAGCGACTTTGCGTAATAAATTATTCAATTCGGCTCGACCTTCCTCTCACCCACTCGTAAATATTAATAAGGCGGGGGTAGGCCTCAAGTGGAGTGACGTCACGCGGGGGGGTAGGCCTCATGTGGAATGAGGTCACGCGGGGGTGGGGCTCATGTGAAGTGACGTCACGTGCGGGACACATTCTTGTCTGATATTCGTCATTTATTGGGGGGGGAGGGGTGTGTCAGGCATTCGTACGCAGGTGGGGGGGGGGGTAAAAAGTGCGCGTGCGTACAGGGAGGGGTCGAGGGGTCAAGTTTTGACAGATTTTTGCGTACCTACTAAATGGATGTGGCCCCTAAGCCACTTCATTGGGATATAATTTGTGGCCAGGTCGCTTCTGATAAAGAGCTACATAGCTCAGTGGGCCTTACGTGGTAAAATACAAATAACTTGGTTTAAAATAGTAACAAAAAATAGTTTATAGTAAAAATGACGCTGCATTGGCAGCTGTGGGGCTTTGCGTCAATAACAGTGTGTGGCCTTACCACATTCCTGCAGAGGGAGCTGGTATGAACGTTGGGTTGCTCGGTCAATGGCCAGGGTCAACGGCGGCACCACGTGGTGTATTCCGCACAATATGCCCGACTGTGAGGGCGGGCACAAGCCGGCGTGAGTAGGTTAAACGTTGAGTTTTATAAGGGCACCACGGGGTGTCCAGCCCCTCCCCACCCAGCCCCACCCCTCCCAGCCCCACCCTCCCCACCCAGCCCCACCCTCCCCACCCAGCCCTTCCCCACCCAGCCCCTCACCACCCTCCCCTCTCCACCCAGCCCCACCCCTCCCATTTTATCCGGGTGTCCGGATACACGTGGACAGACATCCACAGACATACACAATTAATCCCCTGCCTCCTGTGAATTAATCCCGGTTGGGTTTCCAGTCCACTACGTTTCCTACCAGTAAAAGGAAACAAATATGTCTATAATAGGCGACGTTTCAGGCAATGGTCCTTCTTCACAGCATACTGACAGGCCAGAAGTAGAATGGCCAATGCTCTGCGAAGAAGGGCCATTGCCTGAAACGTCTATTATATATTTTTCTTTTGAAGGCCGCAGTGTTGAGTGATTTAAGTTATTTGAAGAAACTGTAGCACCAAATCAGCAGCAACCAGTCGATGCAGATTTAACACTGATTAGTTACAGGATAACTCGTTTTGTCTGACGATTCGTGAAATAGCCCCTTCGTTTACATACTATGAAGAAAGGATCCTTGCCCGAAACGTCACCTATTTCCCTTTTTTTGGTTCAGGGCCACAACGTAATTGACAAATTTGTTGTCATTAATGAATAATTACATCACTAATGTATAACCAACCTTTCTATCATGTACGTGTACTATGAAGAATGGTATGCTGCCCGAAACGTCGCCTATTATTATATCTGTGTTTTCCCTTGAAAGGGTCGCGCGCACAAACGCACGCACGCGCACACGGTGCAAATTGACCGCAACATTGCCGTGCCAGACGACAACAATAGGGCAGTGGGATCCTATTGTTCGTGCAGGACCCTATTGTTCGTGCAGGACCCTATTGTTCGTGCAGGACCCTATTGTTCGTGCAGCGCTCCCTAGAATCGAGGAAACAAGCTTCGTAACGAGCTAAATAACTAAATAAATTGCTTTCGACGGCATCACGTCCGGCGGATACATCGGTTTAAAGGATATTGGCCAAGGCGGTGGGGGTGGGGTTTGTGTGAAGATGAAATTGCATGGGTGGCTTGGGGTTACTGTTTGCAAGCGTTGTTGTGTTGATTCAACGTTTCGTTGTCGAGGCTTTAAACGCCGTCGTTAGGGGAGCTTTTGTCCGGCACGCTTTGGTCTCTCCCACGTCCCTTCGTGTGCCGTTGCAATTCGCTCGCCGCGCACTGTAACGTCGCCGCTGGTGAGACAAAGACGGCCGTGGGCTGGGTGGTGCCGACACCCACACAGTGCCGGTCTTCAGTCGGTGGCACTCGCTAACGTCACTTGCCTGCCCACCACAGTGTGTGGCGGCCTGTGTACGGGGGGAGGAGGTGGGGAGTGTTTATTATCTTTTAAATATTGATAGGTGCTCGTTGGTGATTGTTGTTGTTGGTAGTTGGTGGTGGTTGTTGGTGGTCGTATTGTTGGTGGTTGTTGGTAGTTGTTGGTGGTCGTATTGTTGGTGGTTGTTGTTGGTAGTTGGTGGTGGTTTGTGGTTGTTGTTGGTGGAGGTTGTTGGTGGTGGTTGTTGGTGTTATCGTTGGTGGTGGTTTGTGGTTGTTGTTGGTGGTGGTTGTTGGTGTTATTGTTGGTGGTGGTTTGTGGTTGTTGGTGTTATCGTTGGTGGTGGTGGTTTGTGGTTGTTGTTGGTGTTATCGTTGGTGGTGGTGGTTTGTGGTTGTTGTTGGTGGAGGTTGTTGGTGTTATCGTTGGTGGTGGTGGTTTGTGGTTGTTGTTGGTGGTGGTTGTTGGTGTTATCGGTGGTGGTGGTTTGTGGTTGTTGTTGGTGTTATCGTTGGTGGTGGTGGTTTGTGGTTGTTGGTGGTGGTTGTTGGTGTTATTGTTGGTGGTGGTTTGTGGTTGTTGTTGTTGGTGGTTGTTGGTGTTGTTGGTGGTGGTGGTTGGTGTTGTTGGTGGTGGTGGTTTGTGGTTGTTGTTGGTGTTATTGTTGGTGGTTTGTGGTTGTTGTTGGTGGTGGTTGTTGGTGTTGTTGGTGGTGGTGGTTTGTGGTTGTTGTTGGTGGTGGTTGTTGGTGTTATCGTTGGTGGTGGTGGTTTGTGGTTGTTGTTGGTGGTGGTTGTTGGTGGTGGTGGTTGGTGTTATTGTTGGTGGTTTGTGGTTGTTGTTGTTGGTGGTTGTTGTTGGTGTTATTGTTGGTGGTGGTGGTTTGTGGTTGTTGTTGGTGGTGGTTGTTGGTGTTATTGTTGGTGGTGGTTTGTGGTTGTTGTTGGTGTTTGTTGGTGTTATCGTTGGTGGTGGTGGTTTGTGGTTGTTGTTGGTGGAGGTTGTTGGTGTTATTGTTGGTGGTGGTGGTTTGTGGTTGTTGTTGTTGGAGGTTGTTGATGTTGTTACAGGAGACGAGATGCCGCGGAAGACTCCTCTGAAGGTGTCTGTGGACGTGACCGTCCATGCCGTGAGTACTGTACCATCATACCGTGAGTACTGTACCATCACACTGTGAGTACTGTACCATCACACCGTGAGTACTGTACCATCATACCGTGAGTACTGTACCATCATACCGTGAGTACTGTACCATCACACCGTGAGTACTGTACCATCATACCGTGAGTACTGTACCATCATACCGTGAGTACTGTACCATCACACCGTGAGTACTGTACCACCATACCGTGAGTACTGTACCATCATACCGTGAGTACTGTACCATCATACCATGAGTACTGTACCGTCACACTGTGAGTACTGTACCATCATACCGTGAGTACTGTACCATCATACCGTGAGTACTGTACCATCATACCGTGAGTACTGTACCATCATACCGTGAGTACTGTACCGTCACACCGTGAATACTGTACTGTCATACCGTGAGTACTGTACCGTCACACTGTGAGTACTGTACCATAATACCGTGAGTACTGTACCACCATACCGTGAGTACTGTACCATCATACCGTGAGTACTGTACCATCACACTGAGTACTGTACCATCACACCGTGAGTACTGTACCACCATACCGTGAGTACTGTACCATCACACCGTGAGTACTGTACCATCACACCGTGAGTACTGTACCATCACACCGTGAGTACTGTACCATCATACCGTGAGTACTGTACCATCATACCGTGAGTGTACGTGACACTTGCGTTGACTCTAGACGCAATAAGTGAGACCTTTTGGCAACGTGGCGACTATGTTTAAGTGTCAGTGTACAATCGGTCGTAGGTGCGGTGGGTCGCCTGGTACAGTAACGGACTGCGATTCGATATATTTAATGTTCCAGATGTCTGGTGACAGTCCCCCTCGATTGACCGTGAACAATGTTGTTTCGTTGGCAATATTCACGTCTGCTTTAAATAAACCTTACTTTGAAAGGGGGGGGGGGGGGAATGTACGTTTTAAGATAATTGAATGGGGGTCACGGGACATTTGGACCACCCGTTACAATGTTTATACATCACGACCATAACTCGAATCAATGCAGCGTCTTTCATGTCGCGCATGTGACAGCTACCACAGTTTCACTCTGGGTTTAATGTGGATGTAGTCTTACGTGCCGTACATTGTACACATCATAATTACGAACGCGTGTCTCTTTCCTAAAAAAAAAACAGCAATATAAATCATTAACTTTAAACGTGCTTTTCGAGTACCGACCCAATTGTAGAGCTATAATCAATCCACCGTGTGGGCTTTGGTCCATGCTGTGGTACATTAACAAAGATTAATGCAAAATTGGTCACCCCGTACTGGGATAATTATGCAGATAAAGTCCTGGCACTTGTTTTACCGTTGCACAACAGAGGGCGCACGTTCAATAAAATACCATTTAAAATGATTGCGTTTGTTCGCGGATCACATCTCGCAAGCGCATTGTAAAATGGTTTAACGTGGCAAAAACATTCCCGCAAAATTATGAACGCATTGCAACCAATTACGGTAAGACTAAACATCCATCCATAACCCTGTAAAGGTCACGCCTGTGACCCCGTGTCGCAATTGCAAACGAGACTCATCCTGGTCTCGAGAATTCTCACCCCCCTTAAACAAAATCAGCTTCGAAATTGAACTTGAATAAATACGATGGAGCAAAATATTCAGTACCGAACCTGCTTTCTCGTAAAAAACAAACAAAAATCACTGGAGTAATTTGGCCACGTTTCACCAAACTGCACCACGAGTCACCGCGACGTGAGAACGGTGTCGTCTTTTCTAGATTTAAAGCTTTCGTGACTGCAAGGATCCATACTCTTTGGTTCTATTGGGTAAAGTCACGTAGGTAAAAAATAAAATAACAAAAATCACGACGTTTCGGCCTCAACACAAGCAGCCTTCATCAGGTGAAGGGACGAGACTGTCTGGAGGACAGCGCTGGAGTGAAAAAAGCCACGCTCAGATCACGACCTTTAAGCTGTGTGAGAAGAAAGAAAGCGCCTTGACAAAGGAATTAGCATATAATTTAGCATCACTCAGCCATTTCAATGCTAAATTATATGCTAATTCCTTTGTCAAGGCGCTTTGTTTCTTCTCACACAGCTTAAAGGTCGTGATCTGAGCGTGGCTTTTTTCACTCCAGCGCTGTCCTCCAGACAGTCTCGTCCCTTCACCTGATGAAGGCCGCTTGTGTTGTGGCCGAAACGTCGTGATTTTTGTTATTTTATTTTTTACCTACGTGACTTTACCCAATAGAACCAAAGAGTATGGTGTCGTCTTTATTCTGGTCTTTTGGAACATCGCGATGCAAGCTCGGCGATTTCGGTTGATGCGTTGGTGCAGGCCCGACCGCTGTAGCAGGAGAACACACTCCACAGTTCGGATGCTCGAGTTGCAAGTTTATTTTGTTACTTAACCGGGTGAGAACTCGGGATGTGACCTGGGTTCACCAAAGTGACAAAAGCAAATTAGCGTGGTGGGAGTGTAACGTTCTCTCGTACATTCAGCTCAGACTGTCGAATGGCAGTCAGGCCGGCAATTGAATGATCTGTGCTTGACTTCAGCCAAACTAAGTGGGAAAACTACACTTCCACATGCTGCGTGTGTATGTGTGTGTTTAATACAGTAGTTGGTCATCTGATTGAGAACAGCTGCTGCTCAAGGCACTTGAAAAGCCAGCTAAGGTGGCCGCCCGCATTTGAACCCAGAATTGTAACGGTGCAGGCTCTACGCTGACCTCTAAGCCACGGGGTCACCTCATGCATGCATCATTATTTGACTTACCAATTTCAACCTCGTGCACCGGCTGACACAATCTCAGTGTGCGACTTGGGACGTAATTCTTATCATCGCTTTTAAATACTTTCGAGGACAGACACATGTTGGAAAGTGTTCCGGAAACCGTGCATATTCATGAATCTCCTTGTTCGGAAAACGTCTTAACCTAGCAGCGGCTTGCCGGCGTGCGCAGGTGACATGCCCTGGCGCAGTGCTCCAAGGGAGCGAGCGCGTCTACATGAGCGTCTGCGTGCTCGGATGCTACGCCAAGACCCGGGCCATCGAGCCCGGCTTCCCACTGCTCTTCCGACAGACGCTGCACGTGCGCAAGGTGAGAAGGGAAGGCGCCGAGAGGACACCTTGTCATTATTTGTTTTCATCGTTCAAGAACCCAACAAACAAAGCGTCTGGGAGGGAAGCACAGGTCATGAACGCGTCACGTTTCGGGGCGAAACGCCCCTTAAAAAAGGGGGGCCTGCTGGAAGCACGGCCATTGTAGGGATGGCAGTCGGGAGTAGCGCATTTGCAGGGGAGGGGAAGGAAAGGAAAAAATGGGGATGTGTGTATGTATGTTGAACTTCTTTCCCACCTTACGTAGCCAACCGTGCTAATCACCTGCGGAGGAGGCCTCGAAGTAACCTGGGCGGATGTACCGTTCCCCGCGTATAACTCCCGTTATACGCGGGGAAAACCACTCGCAAAAATATAAAAACTGAACGGCAGGCGTAGAAAGTAAGCTTTGTGGTCAAGCTATTTTTATCGATCTGAAAAAAATCAGAAAATCGAGAAGGACTGCAAACTAACACAAAGCAGTTTTTAAAGTAATTAGTTTTAACAGTGCATAGTTCCAGTGGCTTCCTAATATCGAAAGGAAGAGTGCTCCAAACGGCCGCAGAAGCGCATCTGAAAGCGCATGATGCTGTCAATGCCTTTATTCTATGGCTTGCCAAAGGCCGCTGCAAGGATGACTGGAGTTCACATCATGGTGTATGTTTCTTAACGAGATCAGCAAGGTATTATGTGACAACCACTTGCGCAATAATGTTTTTGTGTCTATGTACGGTATTCACTCGTTATTCACGAACTTGCTATCCGCGATTTTGGCTATCCGCGAATTCCGCGTTTTTGGCTATCCGCGAATTGCATCTGGAACTCGACACGACTGCATCGAGAGAGAAAGAAAGTGATGAAATAATTTTCATGTATTTAATAGCCTATTTAGGTATTTATTTAAGGTCATTCATAAAAACAGGTTTTCATAGGTCAATATTATTATCCACAAAGTTTGCTATTTGCAAGAATCTCCGGAACGTATCCCTCACGAATAATGAGGGGATACTCTATGTGCCAGTATTGCGTGTGTACCTGTGCATGTGTTTATACAGTGTTTAAGTACTGTTTGAATGTTTGCCTGTTTATGTGTTTTTATGTGTATAATTACTGTGCATGCCTGTACGAATATCTGAAAGAAGGCCCAAAGACTGACGGATTCAATTAAATTGCGCTTCTTAGCAAATACAAACGAGCTCCTTTGCTTACTCATGCAAGTGTTGAGGGCTTCCGTAATGTAGGTCAAAAAGTAATAATTTTAACAATGTGTTTATTCTTGTTGTTTTCTCACATTGCCACAGGTCTTGGAAGGAGTTGATGACTTGGAAGACCTCACGGATGTATTTGAAGGTTTGTAATCTCCACAAGACCACCCGTGTTGGGGGCTCTAATAGAGTTTAACATTTTAACCTCGCAGGGTAAGTCCTCGCTTAATGCGTGTTCACGCAACGCGTGTTTCCTACAATACGCTACTCCTATGAGGGAACACTCTTCAAGCAATGCGGAACGCGCACCGTTACAACGCGGTTTCTGAGCGGTCGACCGACGAACTACTCCCTTGAGCTGCGCGGCTGAGCGGTATGGTGATACAGTAGGCGGAATGATACAGTATGCGGTACGATACAGCATGTGGGATGATACAGTGCGTGGTATGGTACATCACGTGGAATGGTACAGTATTCGGTGCTATACATGATGCGGAATGGTACAGTATGCAGAATTGTACAGTCCACGGAATGGTACAATACTTGGCCGCCAGCGGTCATCCCCGCCATGGGATGACTGCTGGCTGATTTTACAGTACAAATCTGATTCGGTAGCAGTAATTCCTCACTTTGCACGGTTTTCATCAGATTTGTTTTTACATTAGTTCACATTAAAGTTACCAGATGGACTCAATGTGTTTCACGTTACACGAGATACAACTTTACAGCCCCCTCCTTCACGGGCCCGTACTGACCAGTGGGGTAAGGTGTGGTCAAACAACCCCAATAACCGACATGGCACGGGGCAGACCTTCAAACTATTGGTGGACACACAAAAGGGCTGTAGGTTAGTTTATGTTATTAAGTTGGTGCTTGTTCTTAAGTTGTAGCTTGCAAGCTCAGGTCGCCGGTTGTTGGGTGGGCACAGCACCTGATCACTGTCTCTCCGGCCAATACATTGATTGCGTCTTTTTTGGCAAGTCAACCGTGGGTGCCTTGTGGAGACTGGCCCTTGCCATAGGAATGTGGAATTTCCACTAATCATTGGAGATGAGCTGCACTGTCAAGTCAATTCAATTTTTTGCTAAAAACAAGTTGTGCCTTTCTGGCACAAATCGAACACTCATAGCACCATCATATTAATACTCTTAAATGTAAAATTTATATACAATGAGAAAAAATATATATAGTCTGTTCTCCTCTAACGCAGTAGTTGCATTCCTGAATAACATCGCGTTATGGAAAATTCGCATTATAATAAATAGTAAATATAGGATAAGCCACAGTCCGCGATAACTCGTGAGATGCGTACACAGGCTGAACAAAGACTGAGACACGTGGGTAGCATCTAGAAGCATCCAGCAGTATCCCGCTTTGTGTGCTGCTATGTCGAGGCAACCGTACGACCACTTATTCCCACTCGCACGACGTAGTTCTGTTCACTCGATCGCGTTATATCCAATTCGCGTTATGAAAACAACATGCGGCGTTATAGACCGTATGTACTATCTATAGTTTCAAATATAAACATAAAAGCAAGTTGTGGCTGTGAATTAGTTGTTGTTCATTCACTTGAACGGGGAGACGATTTGACTTTTGATTGAGAGCAGGAGACCCATTTTAAGCTGTAGAAATGTCGTATTAATAGTTACAATGCCTGTTGTTTTGTTCTTCTTTTGAGTCTGATCCCATGCCTTGTCGCCCTTTCCAGCCGAGGACATCACGTTTGAGCTGGTTCAACTTTGCCCCCCAGGTAAGACGGCTCTTGGGGTTTCTCTTGCGTTCCGGTTATAGTCGGACGGAGGGGAAATGTGGTTACCGCACCGCGATATTTATCCAGAGTCTCGGTCACGGCTGACGTCCAGTGAAGAACCGGTCCTGGGCTCCGACGCTTCGCCGACCCGCACTGGCCGGCGTGGTGAAGTATGGTCAAACAAACCCCCACGATTGAACACCGCTTGGGACAGGCTTTCATCCAGCAGTGGATTGACACAGGGCGGTAAATGACTGTTATTACCATCTATTCCATTTACGATGCCACATCAGTGTTTCAGTCTTGCTATCGGATGGTGCAGGCATCATCGCCGTTGCCCATGATGGCCTGTTTGACTGGACTATAGCCCAGTTTGTGCTGTCGGAGCGAGACCTCTAGTTTCCACTGGGAACTAAAAACTATTAAATTATTTTTTATTTGGCCAGGTAAAGCCCACTGAGCTATTTAGCTTTTTTTTGAGAAGCAATCTGACCATAAATGATAGCCCAATGAAGTGGCTTATCACGTGAACATTTCTAGCAGCCAAATACTGTAAACGCATGTTTCTAAACGTGGAGGGAAAAACCAGAGGACCTGGAAAAAAATTCACGCGACCACGGGAAGAGAGAGACATACAAACTACAAATATACAGCAGCAGGCGTCAGGGTCGGGATCAAACCCACGACCTCCTGTATACCAGGCGAGGCAGTTAACATTTCTCCACCGCAGCGCCCTACTCATATAGTGTGCACTTGTGCTTGTGTAGCCGGCGAGACTCTGGCAACGTACACAGAGGCCGCGTCGTCGCTGCTCGTACCTGGGCCTCTCCGCGAGGTGCTCATGACCAGATCAACAGACTTCTCGGTGAGACGCAGTCACGTGTGTGCCAATAGGAAGACCCTCTTCCAAGTTCCAGGGTTCTTCAGAATCAGAATATTTATCCTGAAGGAATCCGATGAGCTATCAAGCTCTTTATCACAGATGTCCACTTTAACTGGTGGCCTCGACTGGCCCGCCGCACTACTGTCAACCTCCCCCCCCGTCCCCCCCCCCCTCCAAGAGATGTGGCTTGCGGAGACCTAGAGATTCAGATTAACGGGAAGAAATTGAGATGAACAAGATGTACAGATGAAAGGGCTATAGACGAGAGAAGACTTTTGAGTGATGTGAATGTGACATGAGAGATAGATGAGATTAAATTAAGGTGTACATTATTAACACTTTACAACTAAGTCTGCAAAATAATCAGACACAAAAGTGTGACAACGCTCGTGATGATGAAACGATAGAAACGCGTCTCGGATAGATTTGCGTTGATCAACGGAGACTCGCCCTCGGGGAGGGGGTGGGGGAATAAAAACAATTAATTCAAAGGGTGTATGTATGTACGTTGAACTTTTTTTTCACCGTCCGTAGTCAACCGCGCTAATCGGAGGTGCAGGTGGCAGAAAACCCATCGCTCGAAGTATTTACCTTGCCGGCCAAGGTGACGACATCATAACGGGTGATGTCGTCTGACGCTCATTTTTGAACTGCTTTATGTGTTTCGTTTGTTGTCCTTCCCCCGCACCTCTGATTCGCATGGTTGGGTACGTACGGTGCGAAAGAAGTTCAACCTACATACAAAGGCAAAGAGCCCCCGTATAGCTGTAACAGACTATTGGGGCAAGTGCTTTTAGCGAGCACCTATGAAGGCTGACAAGGCACCCGGGGGGGGGGGGGGGTGGCCAGCACCACGCCCGACCACCTTTTTCTCCCCAGTGGCGATGATTTTACACGCCACATCAGAGGGGCCAGGACCGGTTGATATAATCGTCACTGGCATTGGTGGCCGTGAGCGGGAATCGAACTCGGCTCGCTGGGTTTGTAGCGCTGCGCGCTAACCGCTACTCTGTTGCTCCACACACCTGCCAATATACCGATACCCGCCATTCGCCACTAAGTGACGGTGATGTCACCACGACGCCTGTGCCAGGCCAGGTGTACTTTGAGGCCACGTGAAGTGTCGAAGGCTCGCTGACGGGAGGTCACGGGACAGACCCAGCAGGTGCCATGAGCTGGCTGACTGCGACGACTGGGAGATAGGTGCACCAGCTGTACCCCCTACCATGCCAACTTGCTGCATGCCGTCTTACGCTCGCGCCCTCGCACGTGTATCTCTCCCTGCGTTGGGTCCGTCAGGGCCGCCTCTCTCCCAGGCTGGACTTCTCTGCCCGCGTTCTTGTCCTGGAGTCTGGCAGGGACGGCACACACAGGGAAACGGGCTCGGCAGCGGTGAGCGGCACAAAAACGAGACGGGCGGCCGGCACTCTGATCCTACCCCCAATGCTTTCTGTAAAATATGATGAGAAAATCATCAAAAATAACTGTGATAGGGGGAGTGTTCTCACCTGGATCAATAATGGTAATTTATATATCGCATTAACCATATGCAGCAATTGCGAAAAATGTATTCAACTAATCTTCAAGTGATGCCGTGCCAGTTAGGATGGCTGCGTTCAGGTTGAAGGGGGGTGGGTTCGTATCCCACTTCTGACAGCATGGCCTGTTTTCAGGCCATGCTGTAACAATAATTATAAATTACTAATTTATCAAGGAAAACCATATTAAATCCAAGCAGGAGGGTCCGGCTACTCTGGGTTTTTATTTCAGGATGTTTTCAGCCAAGTTACGCGGTGTTTATTACACGTACGGAAGGTAACCGGAGCACCCGGTGACAATCCACGTGCGCAGTTTGGGCAACACTCTATCCGCATACAGAGAGAAACAGACGGGAGATTAGTCCCCTCGCTGTTCTGCCTTCTCCTGGTGAGCCAGGGTATGGCACCTCCTCGACGCCCACTGGAAGGGAGTTTTACAACATCATCTGTGTGTGCGGTAATCCACCAACCCTCGCTGCTGGACTACAGGCAGCCACGTGCAGCAATAGCCACCACTGCCAGCACAATGCAAGCAGCCGTGTCCTAGATCACCAACCGAAAAGAGGCAAAATTTACATTTTTAGATTTTACCAGGTGAGGCTCACTGAGCTACGTAGCTCTTTTTCAGAAGCGACCTGGCCACAAATGATGGCTCAACGAAGTGGCTCATGTGGAAATTGATAGCAGTGAAATACTCTTAAACGCACGTTTCTAAATGTGGAGGTTAAAACCGGAGGTCCCAGAGAAGGATCCATGCCACCACGGGGAGAACATGCAAATTCCAAAGATATGCAGGTGTCAGGGTCAGGATCGAACCCTCGACATCCTGTATACCTGGCGAGGTAGTCAACATCTCGACACCTTGGCAACCTTACCGTGACAAGGGACGGCTTAACAATACAAAGCCCCCGATGCACGAGGCAACAGGAGGCAATGTAGTGCTGATGATTCCTAACAAGGACAAAGCTGGTATACAGGCATCTTTTTTTGTCCTGCCGATGTCTGAAATAATAAGGCCACAAACTTGCACTCTTTTTAATTGGTGGTCCCCAACAAGGCTGTGCGCTCTACACACCGCTGGGATTCTGGGTTCAACTCCCAAGTTTCGGCCACTGCCCGTAGTCAAACTCCAGTGCATCAAGTTGAAGGTATCGGCCTGGCCACCAATGACTGGGAAAAAAAAAACAAGCTAAACTTAATCTGTCACTTAATTCAGCTTCTATTCCATCTCCGAGAATTAAACATTTGAGCTTGACATGTGATGAACACCGTTTTGCAGGCCATATATAAACGTGCAACTAAAATGGACAAAGTCAAAGTGAAGCGACTCCACAAGTAGTTCTGTGGCATCACCTTCCGGGAGCCATTGCGAACACGGAATGGTACACTGCTAGCTGTGAGAGAGTTCCGAATAGAATAGTTACAAGCTTTCAATCACTATAACCCGGCGGCCGGTAACCTGCGGCTCCGGAGCCACATGCGGCTCTTCAAGGACTGCTTCGTGACGTCATTTATTAAGGACCACCACCTCGCATGCACGTGCATTGCGGCTCTCGCAACATTGAGAGGTTTTCCCCAAATTCGAAAAAAAATGGCTCTTGCGATTTTGGTTGCCGATCCCTGGTCTAACCCTGACCTGGCGCCCCTTAAAGGCACAGGACTGGTCGACGGGCCGCTCGTCGCCACCGCCACCGTCATCGTCGTCGCCAGCGGCGCCACCGAATCCCGGGACTCGGCGAGTGCAGAGCCCCGGTTACCGCGAGCCCACGGAGGCGTGGCGAGCTCGCTGCCCTTCTCCCTACACCGAGCGGCGGATGTGCGAGCGATCGGCCGGCTTCGGCAGCTGCCCAACGGGCGGCAGAGGAGCGGCGGGACGGGGAGGAGGAGGAGGAGGAGGAAGTCAGAGGATGCCCCACCTGGGCCTCGGGCCGTGGCACTTTACGTCGCCGCTCAGGGACCCACCCGCGTTCGTTGTGCGGCGAGTGAGTCGCGAACGGGGACAAAGCGCTCTGGATCGGCAGGAGGGATGTGACTAGGGCCATCAAGTACCTTTGGCGGCGACAAAGACGAAGATCCCCCGTATAGCCTTTCACATACCGATGGGACAAGTGCCGTTAGCGAGCACCTATGAAGGCCGACACCTACCTTGCTAAACTCGTGCCAACCATGCAAACCTCCGATTAGCACGGTTGGCTACATACGGTGCGAAAGAAGTTCAATATACTTACACTAGGCGGTAGGTGACCAGCACCACGCCCGGGCGCTTTTGTGTTTGCGAGTTTGCGATGTTTATACACCACACAAACTATTAATTCGAGGCTGATTCGACCTAGGGGAGGCCCAGGACTGGTTCATATATATTCGCAAGCTTTTATCGGCCGTGAGTGGGAGTAGAACTCGGGTCGCCGGGTTTGTAGTGCAGCGTGCTAACCACTGCACATGCGCGGAGAGGCCATGCTATAACAATAATAATACATTCTTAATTTATCCAGGAAAGCCACACTGAATCCAAGCACCCTTTTTCAGGAGGGTAAGGCTATATTGGGTTTTTATTTTAAGGTGTTTTCAGCCAAGTTACAAGTTGTTTATTACACTTCTGTCACTTCGAGAGGGTTACAGGTCAAGTTGACCCGCTATCTGGCTTTGTGCTCGCAACATGCAATTCCACTCGGTCGTATACTTTGCATCGAGGTAACCGGTCGGAGACAAGCTTCAGACATCAGCAATAAATCGCGCTCCAAACATTCGAACATCTGCACACACTCGACACGTTATCTTTCACGAACAACCGAGAGATAAAATAAAGTGTTTACCTTGCACGTTAAAGAATGTCCATCTCCAGCCGTATCGGTTTTGACCTCGGGGCAACCTAGTTAAAAAGTGACACCTGACGATGCAAAAACCCCCCTTGTTGCGCGCAGGTAAACTTGGACGGTTTGGCAAAAAACACTCCGCCAAAGTCCCCCCCAGTGGAAAACAGGCTTCGAACGTCCCACTCCCCACGCTCGCAAATCCTGGACGGTATGGAATCTTATTTTGTTTTATATATTCGTGCAGCGCCTTTGATCAAAGCGCTTAACGTAATTAATTAATTAAAAAAAGGTATAAGCCAATTATTTATATGAAGGGTGTGTGCAAGGCATGAGTAATGTGTCACAGAGAGTCAGTATGAGGTGTTAGGAAAGAGGAGGGGGGGGAGAAATTGAGGGGGGGGGGTGCGGGAGAATAGGCAATAGAGAAGAGGTGAGGCTTTGAGAGAGCAGCGGAACGAGGTTAAGGAGGGGGATTGCTTCACGTGATTTGTTTATCTTTTATGTTTAGGCTTGATATTTCACACATTACACTACTTAAAGTGGTAATCTTCCATTTAAGTATTGTTATTATCACGGCATTTGAATCTGTAATTCCAGACATAGCTGCCAACGCTCTTGTCTTAGCATCTATTTAGCTTTGCCCTGTGCTTAGCGCTGTTAAACTGCGACGTATAACAAGCGTGGAGAGGAGCACGCTTGCAGTTACACCGAGAGACAGAGAGAGGGACTCGTGGATCAGAGAGCAAATGCAAGTTAGCGACTGCCTTATCGACTGCCTTATCGACTGTTAAGAAAAGTAAGTGGGCTTGGGGCAGGACATGTCATGGCTCGAAGAGGCGACATTGGCCAGTGATAACCACTGGTGTAAAGAACTATTTTTTGTTTTTACCACCAGGTAAGGCCCACTGAGCTATATAGCTATTTTTGAAAAGCGACCTGGCGACAAATGATTGCTCAACAAAGTGGCTCATGTGGAAATTTATAGCAGCCAAATGCTCTAAACGCATGTTGATTCTAAATGTGGAGGGAAAAACCGGAGGAGCCTGAGAAAAATCCACGTGACCACAGGGATAACATGCAAACTCCACATATACAGGCAAACCCATGACCTCCTGCATACCAGGAGAAGGAGTTAACATCTCACCACCGTGGCACCCCACAATTGTCCAAAAAAAAACCTTAGGATCCTAAACAAAAACGTCTTCTTAAAGAAGGTCACTGCATCACGTACTTTCAGATGTGCTTCTGCGGCTGTCTGAAATGCTCTTCCTATATTCGGAAGCCACTGAAGCTATGCACTTTTAAATCTAGATTTAAATCTCAATTCTTTAGAACAGATTTTTGTGTTTCGTTTGTTGTCCTTCCCCCGCACCTCTGATTAGCACGGTTGGCTACGTGCGGTGCGAAAGAAGTTCAACACATACGTTATTCCGTCTCATTCGTGCTGCTCGCCTTAAAAGCGGCATTCGAATATAGTTTTCATAAATCGTGAATCATTCTCACATCTGCCTAACTTTACACGTGTGTCATGAGCGCGATAATTCAATTTGATGGATTTGCTGACGAAGTCAATCGTGCTCACTGGACGCCGTTGTTGTGAAAGCCTCCCCGGCAAGCGAATCGTCGGTCCAATCGTCGGTTTTTTTTCGCTACACGTTTCGTCGCTCATTTTTTGTCGCAACGCGTTGTTTGTTCACTCTTCTGCTGCTGCAGACACTTCCCTCCGTGGCAGCTACAGACCGAGTCGAGACGCGTCTCAGGTAACGGAAATCCTCCCAATGAGCAGGCTCTCTCTGCGGGGGGGGGGGGGGGCAGCACAGCAAGTAGGCTCTCACTTACTTGCAGTGCCGTTAGCCTTGTTGTCACCCCTGCTGCATGTGCGGCGGAGCGGTGGCTCAGTGGTTAGCGCGCTGCCACCCCCGTGAACCCGGCCCACCGAGTTGGATTCCCAGCCAAGGCTAGCGTGAGCGGAGGATAATTCCTGTCACGGTGATGGTTCCTCGTTTACCCACCTGCCGTTCTCCTCTGTACGGCTGGTGTTGATGTACAGCAACAGCTTCTTCTTCCTAGATTTGAAGCTTTCGCGACTGCAAGGATTCATACTCTTTGGTTATTATTTTCTCTGATACCAAAGTACTATGCGAACCTCCCGGTTATTACCAAAGATTTGTCCATCCAGATATACAAACATAGACGCAACTTCAACCGAGAGGATGGTTTTAAATTGAGCAACTTTTGGAAAGATGTCATCAACCAAGTCAAACTTTAGCTGGCTTATAAATATACAGCCATTTCCGTTTCTACCAGGATTGTACTCGCTCTCGTGCAGCACGCCATCACCCTACCCCCGAACCCCCTGCAGCATAAAAAAAGGTGGTTTTACGTGCAAGTACACCACCGCCTCCCCCAGAACCCCCTGCAGCATAACAAAAGGTGGTTTTACATGCTAGTGTACCACCACCTCCCCCAGAACCCCCTGCAGAAGAACAAAAGGCGGCTTAACTTAGCCCCCCCCTCCCCACCCACGTCCCTTCCTGGCTCCTCCCCCCCCCCCCTTAACCTGTATATAAGCTCGTGTGTCCCAGAGCTGTTCACTTGATACAGCTAATTTTGCTGTATCTGTTCCACCTGAAGACGGAAGCTTGTGTTGGCTCCGAAACGTTGTGATTTAATTTAGTTTTCATTTATTTAATTTTACCTAAGCTTCTTCATTCTTGTGTGTGTGTGAGCAAGGCAGTGTTTTAATTGCCGAAAAATTGCGGGCAACAAACAAAGTACATCATACAGGGATTGAGTTCTGTACAGGTTAAAGTAAAATGGTATATTTGTCATTATCACTCGCTTTGAATAGACAAAGAGCTCTGCCCAGCCGCTTCTGTGAGCTTTTTCCGAACTTGGAGAGTTATAAAACGCGCGGATCGCGCAAAACAACAGGGGCGTGTAGCCAGTGATGTGATTTGTTTGGGTGAGAGGGCAGGGAGGATTTGCAAGTGCAGCAAAAGTTAAAATGTTACAATGAGGTGGTTAAGGAGCCAGATGATTGCGCCAGGGAGTAACGGAGTGGTGCATCGCGGCGATGGTGCTTTCTTCTTGTTTGTGAATCGGGCCATTGAGTCGTCATTATACCTTCCATTGTTCTGCTCTGGGTGGCGACCACAATCGCCGCACACTGCCGGAAGAGATCATAATTTTCCATTTGTACATCGTAATCATCGTCAAGCGTCTGCTGCTGCCATGGTCTGTGTGCGGATGGAGCACCGTTAACCCCCATGACCAACACAGTGAGGAGGCCTGCATATAGCACCACGGTGGCTAGGAGATGTTAACTCCCTCGCCTGGTACACAGCAGTTTGTGGGTTCAATCCCAACCCTGTATATTTTGAGTTTGCATGCCCTCCCCGTGGTCGTGTGGATTTTTCTCTGGGTCCTCCGGTTTTTCCTCCACATTCAGAATCGACGTTCGTTTAAGAGTATTGGGCTGCTATAAATTTCCACGTGATGATAAGCCACTTCGTTGAGCTCTCATTTGCGGCCAGGTCACTTTACAAAAAGAGCTATATAGCTCAGTGGGCCTTACCTGGTGGTAAAAAATAATAATAATAATATATAGTTCTGAGTTGAGCTATTTGTGGCCAGGTCGCTTCAGAAAAAATGTAAAGTTTTAGTTTAATCTGGATGGACACCGGGCCGATCGTCCCTACGTGCTGGAAGACGGGTCCGTGACGTGACGCTTCCCGCGCGTGCAGAGTGAGGGCCGGCGGCGGCGTCCGGAGGCGGCCGCGAGGGTCTCGTGGGGCCGGACCCCGACGAGTGGACGGGGGCAGGAGGGCGGCGGCGGCGGTGGCGAGGCGCGGGGGGGTTCCCTCCGAACGCCGCGGGGACACCGCGATCCCCACACGGCGGACAGCAGGTGGGCAGCGTCCGTACTCGCCCGGTCGTCGTTGTTCAGCGGCAGATGTACAATGGATGCCACAGAAGCCCCGTGGCTCATAGTTTATTGTACCGTATGTGTGTACGTTGAACTTCTTTCATCCCGTACGTAGCGAACGGTGCTAGTCGGAGGTGCTAAATCGAGGTACTGAATATTTTTCGTATTCGCTCACGGGAATGGGATGTTGCTGTCACAGCGGTGTAACGCTCAGCACGCTTGCAATTGCAATCCAGAGGTTGCCGTGTTTTGATCTCCCAGGCTGCCGTTGAGTCAATGGGACAAGTTGGTTTTAAGTTCCACCTCTGTCCACCCACCGGTATGAATGGGTTCGCCACCGCGGTCAGTCGGCAGGTCGCGTGTGGTGGGGTAAAGTGTGGGTACTCCCGCCTCTTCCGAAACGTCTGGCCGGCGTGGAAGAGGAGGCCAAAAATGACCCTCTGGAGCCGATCTCAATAGCGCCATCTAGTGGCACGGATGTTGAACTTTATCACAGCAATGGGTTTTTTAAATTACATACGAGGGGGTGGGTGACAGCACCACGCCTGGCCGCCTTTGTCTCCCCAGTGGCGATGTTCACACACCACACCAGTTACTCGTTCGAGGCTGAGTCGACCTAGGGGAGGCCCAGGACCGGTTCAAATAATCGTGACCGGTGGTTGCCATGAGCGGGAATCGAACTCGGGTTGCCGGGTTCGTAGCGCAGCGCGCTAACCACTACACTACAATGCGTTGCGCTTCCACATGCGCGGGTCACGTGACAGATTTGACGTCACAGCTCACTTGCCGTGCAATAAATATATGCATTATTGAGCTCCCCCCCCCCCCAAAAAGTGTATTTTAAGAATTTTTGCATGGTGTACAGTCTGGAAAGTACCCACATGGCAAATTTCAAGTTTGTTGGGAAGTACGCTAAACATTTTGAACAGACACACATAATCACAACTTTGCCTTTTATGTATATGAAGATAGACCTAGGTCAGGGGGTCGGCAACAAAAATAAGATCAATTTTTTTTTCGAATTCGGTGCAAAACTCAATATTTCAAGAGCCGCAATGCACGTGAATACTGTACATACGGTAGAAGCAGTACGCCACAAAGCAATCCGTAAAGAGCCGCATGCGGTTCCGGAGCCGCAGGTTGCTGACCCCTGACCTAGGCTGACTGAGAAACACTCGGTATCGGGAAGTAATTGCATCAACACTCGGGTCATCGTGAACGGCATCATCAACGTCGTCGTCGTCGTCAAGATCCACATCACTCCATAGGTTTACCCAAGTGTCACCTTGCAAATAGGCAATAAATCTCAAATGTCCTGAGCTGGAGAAAAAGAGCCTCCGTTTCACACTGAGCACTATTCACGTTTGCTTAGTAGAGGGCAAATTCCTATTCGTACCGCATTGTATATGCTTTCATGGAGCCAATTATGATTAAACTACTGGCATGATCATAAACACGTGTTCGCTGGTGGCAAGTGCAGTTAGCGGAGCACCTATTAAGACCAGCACAGCACATGAGGGTTGGTGGGATCACCAACTTGTCACAACACCTTTGTCTCTCTCGTGCTGAAAAGCCGCACCGCGTATTGACGGCCGAGCGGACCTAGGGGAGGACCACCACGACAGGTTCACGTTAGCGCTTGCCACAGAAGTCCTTCTGTGCTTGGGAATTGGACGTGCGTCACCAGGATCGTAGTGAATTGCGCTAACCGCTGCACCACCACTCTATAAGTAGATGCGCCAACTGGAGCAGGAGGCATTAAGTTCCGGGATCGGCATTTTCGGTCATCACAGAAGAAGTTCAAAGAATTTAAATACTCTCAAAAAAAGTGGAAGCTGAAAACCCGTAGTCTTCCACCGACGAAAGGATTCCACGGATGAGGTTGGGGTGCGAAACAACGGCTCTCTGAGCATCGTTGAGCCCACGCGCTGACGTTGCGCATTTTTGTAGCCAACGAACGGCTCGAAGGATTTTCTGACTCTGTTTTTCTCTGTTTTTTCGTTTTGCTATTGAAACAAAACGCAGGCCCCGCTACAGCGCATCGCGAGACTCGATCGGGATACTCCCAATGCAGCTGCACCATCTGATAGGTGCGGGGGGGGGAGGGGGGGGGGACGCGGGGAGTGGGGGCGGGAGGGTAGCCTAAGGGTAGGAGGGGGCCCGCCGGCCCAGTCGGTAGGGAGCATCACAGAGGGGAGAGGATGTGCGTCTGAAAAGGAGAGGGGGAGCAGGGGGGGGTGGGAAAGAATTGTCTGACTCTTAAGAGCGCACTCGCAGTGTCTTTTCTTCAACGTGACGATATTTCAGCTCTGTTCTTGAAGCCGCGTCTTAAAATACCGAGAAGTGCTTCCACAACGTCTCTGATTCAGCGCGCCGTCGCCCTGTGTCGGCGTGGGACCAGATTTATGCGGCAGAAGTTGACACTGCAGAGCTACTTCAGGAGTCACTTGCAGTGGTCTCAAATCAAATTTCTTATCTTGTACGTTTATAGAGCACCTTTCCTCTCGGCAATGTCCATCCATGCGGTCGATGTCCCCTTGGCACGTGGTCCAGTGACTGTCAGTCATCTGATATATGTATCGACTTTGACTTAAGAGCTGGATGAGTCTGAATCAAGTATGTTAACAGATGTTCTGTGCTTGTTAATGGCAATATGTTCAGGAGCTAGTTGCAAATGTCGATGTGTTGTTTGTATTGTTTCACCGGGCTTGGACCATCAACTCACTTGACTTTTTTGTGTTTAGTTTGTTGTCCCGCCCCCCCCCCCCCCGATCTCCGATTAGCAAGGTTGTCTAAGTACGGTGTGAAAGAAGTTCAACACACATACGAGAAATCTGGTGGCGAGATGTTAACTGCCTCGCCTGGTATACAGGAGGGCGTGGGTTCGATCCCAACGCTGACGACTGGTGTATTATTTGGAGTTTGCGTGTTCGCTCTCCGTGGTTGCGTGGATTTTTCTCCCGCTCCTCCGGTTTTTACCTCCACATTTAGAGTCGACTTGCGTTTAGAGTGGTTGGCTGCTATACATTTCCACGCGATAAGCCACTTCGTTGAGCCATCATTTGTGATAGCCAGGTCGCTTCTGAAAGAGAGTAACATAGCCCAGTGAGCTTTACTTGTTAACAAGAAATAAGTTTAGTTTAAACCACCCAGCCTCCTCACTCTTGACCCCTGTACAGAGCATTTCTATGGCTTTCTCATGCACCTGTCAATCATTAATGGGACGTCCGTCCGAAACGCGTCGAGCGAGCGCGCTCAATCCCGTGGTCTGCGCAGGACGCGTCTGTTCCGACTTGCCTTGCCATTAAATAAAAAAAAGTTGAAGAAGGGGGAGAATAGTATTTTTATTTACTACCTACTTTTCTCGTGATATTCGTTGCGTGCGGTTGCACTTTATTTTGCGCACGATTGCAATTTACCCGGTCGGCGTTCGCCGCTGAGGTCGTGACGGTTTTATTTTTTCATCCCTATTAGCTCTACGCCCCCCCCCCCCACCGTCCTGCTGTAACGCTCACCGACGCCCACTTTATTGAGGGCGATTTTGGCACATAAAATGCAGATCGATTGATCGATTGGTAATGTTTTGCTAACAGACACCGAGCAAAGTTAACAAAGTTCATCATGGGGCAACACCTACAATACGTCTCCGTTTAACCAGACGCCCTCATTTGGTACAACTCAAGTTGTCTTGCTATCAATAATTAATTCCTCAATGGCACTATCCTCTGGTCTTGCCACACCAACCTTCCCTCCACCTATCATTGTTGTGCCTCATTCCCATGATCCCCACAACTACAATGATTTATTTGGCGATTGCTTTGAAGCTTTAAGTCTTAAGCTTTAAGACGATTATCTGAGCCGTTCCTCAGCCTCCCCTAGGTCGACTCAGCCTCAAATGAGTACCTGGCGCGATGCGTAAACATCGCCCCGAGGGAGACAAAGGCGGTCGGGCGTGGTGCTGGCCACCCACCCCCTCGTGTGCCGTCCCGGCCGTCATGGGTGCTCGCTAGCAGCACTTGCCCCAACAGTCTTTTAAGGATGTATGGGGGATCTTTGTCTTTGTCCCTCCCTCTGTTCACGCCTCCTCAGCTGCCTTTGCGATCCCTCGTGGAGCATCGATTCGTGGGAGCTCGTGCACAAGCGTGTGAAGGGGCTGCTGAAATCCAACAGGGCTCGCCGCACACTGCACTACGTGAGTCCCTCCCTCCCTCCCTCCACCACCGCCACCACCAGCACACACCTCTCCCTTCCCATTGTCCCCATCACCTTCCCACGTGTTCCTTCAGTTTTAGGGTTGGTGGATCACAAAGATGTTGCGAATAGTTTACATTCAACGTGCATAGGAAAAGTTTTTCCCATAACGTAGTTTTTTTTTAGTTAGATCATGTAAATATAAAAATGTGTCGTTAAACCCGCCACCACCCGACACAGTCAATTAGTCAAGTTTGTCACGTGAACAGAACATGACAATTCGTTACTCGTATAGCACACTGGTGTGTTGGAGAGCAAATCCACAGCATTTACAATCTGAGTACGACGTTTCGCCAGTGATCACAACTAGCTTCATCAGTTATTGGCGAAACATCGTACTCGGATTGCTCTCCAACACACCAATGGTGCTGAACTCGTAACGAATTGGCATGTTGTGTTTACGTGACAAACCTTACTAATTCTCTGTATCGGGTGGTGGCGGGTTTACCGACACATTGATATTTACGTGACCTAACCCAAAAAAACCCTATATTGGTCGCGAAAGCCTACGTATGAAACGTTTTTTTGTTATTTTAATATTTGCTCGGACACTTGCATTATCTTTGTACTGTTTGCCTTTTGCCATTCTCTGGTCTAACACCGGTTAGACAAGGCCATAAAAAAGGCTGCCTCTGGTGTATTCCAGGCCAGTGCGTGTATTATCAGAGCATGTTTGTTTTGCATGTTTCACCACGAGTACGTGTGGTTAATGCAGACTTAATTCCTTTAAAAAAAGGTATTTATTTGGTGTTTGAACGTCTTAACAGCTGTTTTATTGCCAGAGAGGGTAAAACTGATTCTTATGTTTTCATGCTCATTAATTGGTGGAAAACATCTAAGTGGCAGCAGCAGACCTCTGGCAGTTTGTTGGTGCCTGGCTGCTGCATTGCCCCTCTTGTCTGTGGTTCCCCCTGATGCTCCCGAGTCATTCTCTCTGCCGAGGGTGAGCGAATACTGACTGGCATGTTCATCATCATCACGATCCATGGGTGGCAGATAGCCCCGTAGGTGTCCACTGCACATTTCGTCATGTTGCCACTTTCCTCTGTCTCGTGCCAATATGCTCAAGCAGTGCAACATCTCTCTGGCACCAACCTCTTCCGATGTCATCAGATCAAGCCATTCTTTTTTTTTATTTGAAGCCTTTGTGACTGCAGGAATCCATACTCTTTGGTTCTTTCGGTAGAGTCACGTAGTTAGAAATAAAATAAATAAATCGCTACGTTTCGATCGCAACACAAGCGGAACTTCGTGATTTTTTAATTTTATTTCTAACTACGTGACTTTACCGAAATAACCAAAGAGTAAGCCATTCTTTCTTAGGTTTTCCTCTCTTTCTGGTTCCTTCCATTTTTCTAAACAACCCACTTTTAATTTTCATGTTGTTGTCCATCCTACATATGTATCCAAGTAATGCCATGTTACAAGTCTAAACTATTATTATTATTATATAGGATTAACGAGTATTACCACTGAAATGAGCTATAGGGGGTGGGTACACTCACCTTCAATCCAGTAGATGAAATGACACATTCCTGTGTTGGGGCATAGTATATCCAATGGACCACCATTGGTAAAATGCTGCTAGATAATGCTGGTTTCTGAAAGACTTGAGACCCAGAATCAAACCCAGAATATTAGCAGTACTGGCTCAGAGCTTTTGACATGGCCATTATGGACATCTGTGGAAAAGAGCTGTGTGAGCTCATCATATTCCTCCACTATAAATAAAGATTCTGATTACGAGCGTCCCACTTTCATTGGGAAAGATGTTAACCGTAAGGCTCTCCAAAGAAATATGAGCTGCACAACATCCTGTTCAAAAGAACGTATTTCGACTCAAAACCAGACCTTTGTCATTCGTGACGCGGGTAACGCACCCTTCGACCATGAACGGCGAAATTTCTTTGCGCGTTACTTTTCTTTGCAAGTGACAAGAACAATGTAAAACCTTGCGACTCATTCCCCTTTGTGCCCCACCACTAACTTTTACGTCAAGGCCACCACTGCCTTTGATGTCACAACACCTCGCCACAGCTCTCTTTTGCCAGATCTTTGCAGCTGTTGCACAGTCGACACTTGGACCTTCAAGGACCGCTGTTACAAATATCCCCCATATAGCCTTACCGACTGTTGCACGCGTGCATGTTGAACTTCTGTTGCACCGTACGTAGCCAACCGTAATGATTGGAGGTGCTAATCGGACTTGGGGCAAGTAATGTTAGCGAGCACTTATGAAAAACCAGCACTGCACACGAGGGGGTTGGGTGGCCAACACCACGCCCGGCCACCTTTGTCTCCCCAGGGGCAATGTTTGCACATTGCAGCAGGTACTCATTTAAGGCTGAGTCGACCTAGGGGAGGCCCAGGACTGGTTCAGATAATAGTCACTGGTGTTGGTCGTGAGCAGGAATGGAACTCGGGTCATCGGGTTCGTACCAGGTACTGACCCTGGTCTGCTATTATGACCACGGACTGATCCTCGTCATGTGGATGGGGATTTTCCACCTCTGGCTTAAGGGCCACCACCCCAAGCTCGTTTTTTTTTATTGGAGACACTCTGTGACTTTGAATTTTGCAAGGGTGCTAATAGTATTTCGTATGTTTCCTATTGAAAGGGCTCTGGTGGAGAGGATGACGAAGTGGGGGAGAAGAGCCATTCCGTGGGATCAGCTGAGAGGGCACTCCACAGACTCTCGCTTGCAAGAAGCAGCAGGTGACGTTTTATGTTTCCTCTTGTTGTGTTGTCACCCACGACTGGGGCCCGAATTCGGACATTTATCAACGGCACTGCTGTCTGGCTCAGTGCCCGTGTTAAAATTCCATATATTTTGTCCGATAGGTTTATTGACCAAATCACCCAGAATACACCCGATCTCATATTCTCACTCCTCTCTCTCTCTCACTCCTCTCTCCCTGCCTTACTCCTCTCCCTGCCTCACTACTCTGCCTCACTACTCTCTCTCTCCCTGCCTCACTCCTCTCTCCCTGCCTTACTTCTCTCTCTCTGCCTCACTCCTCTGCCTCACTACTCTCTCTCCCTGCCTCACTCCTCGCCTCATTCCTCTCTCCCTGCCTCACTCCTCTCTCCCTGCCTTACTTCTCTCCCTGCCTCACTCCTCTCCCTCACTACTCTCTCTCCCTCCCTCACTCCTCTCTCCCTGCCTTACTTCTCTCTCTCTGCCTTACTTCTCTCTCTCTCTGCCTCACTCCTCTGCCTCACTACTCTCTCTCCCTGCCTCACTCCTCTCTCCCTGCCTCACTCCTTGCCTCATTCCTGTCTCTCTCTCCCTCACTACTCTCTCCCTGCCACACTCCTCGCCCTGCCTCACTCTTTCACTCCCAGCCTCATTCTCCTCTCTCCCTGCCTCACTCACTCCTCTCCCTGCCACATTCCCCTCTCTCCCGGTGCTCACTGCTCTCTCCTAACCGCCCTTTTCCCATCGTCGTCATCTTCAGCGGTGGTGCCGACTCGTCGGAGGCGAAGGCCGCGTCCGCCACCGGGTGCGATGGCGCCGAGTGGCTCGAGCTGTGGCGGTCGCGTGCCAATTCGCTGCGAGCTGCGGAGCCTCACCGCGCCTCGCTCCACCAGGAGATGGGGCGCGTTTACCGCGATCTTTACCGCGACGCGAAGGCCGGGGCTGTGACGGCGGCGGCTTCGATGTGACGGAGCGAGCGGTGAGGACGAAGACACGGGGGGACCTCCCCAACCGAACCGGCAACAAGACGGATCCTGTAGCCGTATCGTGGTGCCACCACCGGAGCTTAATAGCAGCTGGGTTAGTGACCCAGTAAAATATTTACGCACATGGCACACCACATTCAGAATACCTCTCTCTATGGGCTGCTATTAGTTGCCTACAAATACTCGGTAAAAATTTCAATTTGTATATATTTTTTTTAATCTTCACCGCGTCGATGACCGTGGCACTTTTGTCTGGGAGTGGCGGTGGTGGCGGTATGCCTCCAATCCAGCACACGGGGAGGCAAGGGTAGGTGGATCTCGTAAAGATGTGAAACTAACCAAACCCGATGAGGCTGTAAGGTGGTCTGATAGCAGGACAGCAAGTGGGGTTTGTGAAGACCTCCGTGCATACCTTTGAGTATTAACCCATTCCCCCCGGCACCATTGTGAGTGCTTTCTTCAACAACGATTTCTTCCCACAAAAGGTAACGTGCCACGGTACTTAAAATGAATCGGCCAAACATTCCAATGTAGGACCATCCTGAAAAAGTCTCAACTCGGTGAGGCTCTCTCGGACACAAATTTTCGCAATTAAGTATTCAAGATCACCTGATCGTAATGCCCACTGTGCCACGTGTTTTCTAATTTACTCACCGTTTCACGGTTCCTTTTCGTACCCGTTTCTTTCGCACGACTCGGCGCCGACCGCCTCCGTGTACCTGTGTTCGGTACTCGCCTGGCCTCGATGTTTACCTGGACGTCCGTCCTTAATTTACGCGGTCCCAACAACCACACGCACAGAACGCCTCCAATGACCTGGTCTCAAAGCTGGGCATCTCTTTCGCTCTCCCGTTCCACCCCCACGGTTCTGTTCGCAAATCTCCTCATTGTTGCACACAAAAAAGGCGAGTCGCCTCGTTCGGTTGTTTGCAAAGTGAAAACGAAGGTAAACCGTTAAGGTGTTTTATCCAAACCATCCACGTACTTTTCCCCTCTCATGCACTCTCCAGCATTCAAAGCCTCTTACCCATCTCCTAACACCTCTCCACCACTCACCCAACAACGCTACCCACCAACGGCCCCGCTCACACACATTGGTACCATGCACCAAACGCACAGTGCCAGGACCAAGCACACGTTCGGCTTGTGGGCTATTTCCAACAATGCAAGAGGCTTTTAAACAACCAAAAGAGAGAATATTTGAAGCGCACAGATATAAATGCATTCCGACCGAAGTGTTGCGTGTCGTCAGAACGGTGTTAACGTTGTGTGCAAGTACAATTGCTGAAAATTAACGAGCACTCGTAAGCCTTTTTATGTTATTTCAACGGGGGTGTTTATTAAAAATATTTTTCCCTTCCCCTTGTAATCCTCGTTGAGACCGACGGCTACGTTGTCGGCGGCAGTCGTCACGGGGCACGAGGCGGGATGGGGGGGGGGGGGCAAGCCGACGGACACTACACACACACACAAGACGTTTGATGGAAATCTGCGAATTATGAGAAAAAACCCGTTGGCAACAGAATAGCAGTTTTGTTGCCACGCTCGCTGCTGAGGCTTACGCAAGCACAGCACACGGAGTGACAATATTTTACTGGCGCACGTTAACAACGCAACAGCCGAGCACAGCCGCGCATTTTTAGCCGTCGCCCCTTGTCCTCCAGGTTTCCTTTAATCGGGTCTCTAAAACATTGACGGCTCGGTTTATTAAAGCAGAGTCGGGGGGCTTATCTCGTTTACTGCGTAGATGACTTTGACACTCGTGTTTTAAGAGGCTCGTGAGCTTGTGTGGTTGGAGAGAAGCTGAGAGGGCAGGAAAATGTACATTTCACTTTCGGGACACAATTATCTACAAAGATTTATGGAAACAAACACATTGCAAACGACGCAAGAGACAAACCAAATTGGCAATTGCCTTTCCCATTTTCCCTAATTGCTTTGAGTATCGTTATTTCAATGTTGATCAAGACAGGGTTACGTTAACATCTTGCTGTGGGGAGATGTCTAGTTTAACAAGGCGGCTTTCGCGACACATTATACATGAGGTTTTTTTGGGGTAATATCGCGCAAATATAAACACTCCGGTGTGCTGAAGCACTAACTAATTGGAATGTTTTGTTTACGTGACAAACTTTACTAATTGTGTGTGTTAGATGGTGGCGTGATTAACGGCACATATTTACGCAGTCTAAACCAAAAAAACCTCTGCTTGTTGTCCTTCCCCCGCACCTCCGATTAGCACGGTTGGCTACTTTACGGTGCGAAAGAAGTTCTACATACATACGTACGTACGGGCGATCGACAGGAAGTGCGCGATCGACTCAAGCTCCTGTCAATAGCGGTTAGAGGTGACCGACAACGTGAGGTGGCACTGCGGTAGGAGATCGCTGTTGCGCTGTACAGGCCCCATCCGATGTGCAGTTCGGGTTTGTTACCGCGAGTTGTTCGACTTGACGTCCGACGTTCCGCCCGTGGAGCGAAACGTCAGGACGTCACGCCGTACAACACGCGGCACAACCCGGACACGCATCGGAGAGCTGAACTTTGACGGACTTGGTTGACCGAATACGGCAGCAGCCTCCGCAGACTCCGGGGGAGGGGGGGGGCGATTGCCCGGGGCCGCCAGCGTCACTTCTTCCTCCAGAACTTGCTGTAGGTGTCCGTGTGGAGCTCGTCGCCCAGGTCGTCCTCTGCGCTCGACTTTGGCCGTTCCTTACGGCCTCCGCGTGCCCGCAGTCGCGCCAGCTTCTCCTCCTCGCTCAGCGCGTCAAGGTCCACGGGAAGCTGTGCAGGGCACGGAGCGGCAAGGCACGGTGCTCGCATCAGTGACGGTGGTTTAGGAAGAGGAACCGTGCTCGTGAATGGACACACGCATCCAGCTCCAGTCAACGGATGCAATCTGACAAAGGGGGGCGGGGAGAGGGGCTGTTTGGGTGGCCGTTTCGCTGAGCTACCCCGGAGCGGCAGTGGTCATAATGCAACGATGTGACGGAAGAATTAAGATTGTGCACGATGGTTGCAGTGCTTGGAGGGTGGTTGATGACAAGACAAAACAAGTTACGTTTATAAAATATGCAAATGCGATGCGACCGGAACTCTTTGTCTAAAAGAGCTTATTTACTATTCATACAAATTATATGCATATGCTATCTTTCGGCTAATGTCGGGTACCACGAAGTTTTTTTCATTTACGGCAGATGCATTATTGTGCTAAAGAATGTGCTGAATATTCAAATATTTAACTTGTAGTATGTAGTGGTAGTAATAATAATGTAAAGCTCTTTGGAAATGCACTGCATGGATGAGCACTTCCCCTGCTACCTTGTGATGGCAGCAGGGTTTATTTGAGCGTACCTCCTGGTCAGTACAGGCTTGTGAAGGTAGCGGACCAAAGGCCAGTTTGAGATATCACTCGCCACTGATATAATGGACAGATTTACGCAGCCAACCATGCTAATTAGAGCTAGGAAAGATTTGAGATATAGATGAGTACACGTATTCAGAAAAGCACAAGACAGAGCTAAAATCTATTCAGAAGAGAGACATCGCAGAGAAACAGGACAGTGATTCATACTTTAATTTTGGGTGGGATCAATTCATAAAGTTGTCACGTGAACAAACGTGACAATTTTTTGCAAATAAAAGCTTGGAAAGAGCTCGGTTACCTACCCCACCAAATAAAACGACTTTATAAACTCAACTATAAACTAAACTTTTTATTTTACCAGGTAAGGCAGACTGAGCTAAAGTGAGGGAAATAAGTATTTGACCCCTCTGCAAAACATGACTTAGTACTTGGTCGCAAAACCCTTGTTGGCAATCACAGAGGTCAGACGTTTCTTGTAGTTGGCCACCAGGTTCGCACACACCTCAGGAGGGATTTTGTCCCACTCCTCTTTGCAGATCTTCTCCAAGTCATTAAGGTTTCGAGGCTGACGTTTGGCAACTCGAACCTTCAGCTCCCTCCACAGATTTTCTATGGGATTAAGGTTTGGAGACTGGCTAGGCCACTCCAGGACCTAAATGTGCTTCTTCTTGAGCCACTCCTTTGTTGCCTTGGCCGTGTGTTATGGGTCATTGTCATGCTGGAATACCCATCCACGACCCATTTTCAATGCCCTGGCTGAGGGAAGGAGGTTCTCACCCAAGATTTGACGGTACATGGCCCCGTCCATCGTCCCTTTGATGCGGTGAAGTTGTCCTGTCCCCTTAGTAGAAAAACACCCCCAAAGCATAATGTTTCCACCTCCATGTTTGACGGTGGGGATGGTGTTCTTGGGGTCATAGGCAGCATTCCTCCTCCACACACGGCGAGTTGAGTTGATGCCAAAGAGCTCCATTTTGGTCTCATCTGACCACAACACTTTCACCCAGTTGTCCTCTGAATCATTCAGATGTTCATTGGCAAACTTCAGACGGGCATGTATATGTGCTTTCTTGAGCAGGGGCACCTTGCGGGCGCTGCATTATTTCAGTCCTTCACGGCGTAGTGTGTTACCAATTGTTTTCTTGGTGACTATTGTCCCAGCCGCCTTGAGATCATTGACAACATCTTCCCGTGTAGTTCTGGGCTGATTCCTCATTGTTCTCATAATTGCAACTCCACAAGGTGAGATCTTGCATGGAGCCCCAGGCCGAGGGAGATTGACAGTTCGTTTGTGTTTCTTCCATTTGCGAATAATCGCACCAACTGTTGTCACCTCACCAAGCTGCTTAGCAATGGTCTTGTAGCCCATTCCAGCCTTGTGTAGGTCTTCAATCTTGTCCCTGACATCCTTGGAGACCTCTTTGGTCTTGGCCATGGTGGAGAGTTTGGAATCTGATTGATTGTTTCTGTGGACAGGTGTCTTTTTTAAGGTATCAAGCTGAGATTAGGAGCACTCCCTTTAAGAGTGTGCTCCTAATCTCAACTCATTACCTGTATAAAAGACACCTGGGAGCCAGAAATCTTTCTGATTGAGAGGGGGTCAATTACTTATTTCCCTCATTAAAATGCAAATCATTTTATAACATTTTTGACACGCGTTTCTGGATTTTGTTGGTTATTATTCTGTCTCTCACTGTCCAAATAAACCTACCATTAAAATTATAGACTGATCATTTCTTTGTCAGTGGGCAAACGTACAAAATCAGCAGGGGATCAAATACTTTTTTCCCTCACTGTATATAGCTATTTTTCAAAAGTGGCCTGGCCACAAATGATAGCGCAACGAAGTGTATGTATGTTGAACTTCTTTCGCATCGCTTATGTGGACATTTTTAGCGGCCAAATACTCGAAACACATGTTTCTAAATATGGAGGAAAAAACCGGAGGATGCAGAGAAATATCCACACGACCACGAGGAGAACACTGCAAACTCCAACTATACAGCAGCAGCAGGCATCAGGTTCGGGATCGAACCCACGACCTCCTGTATACCAAGTGAGGTAGTGAGCATCTCACCACCGTGGTGTCTGTGTGGTGAAAAAGGGATTGGAGGTGCATGTCTGTAATCCAGCGCTCTTAGAGGCAAGCAAGATTGCTGGAATTTCCACAAAGACATTCGGTTCCATCCCACACTTGGATCATGAACAGTTATTTGTTTCATTTTAGGGTTTGGACTTAAAAAAAACACTGAGACGTAGCTGGACAACCCAAAAGGGTGAAGAGTCTGTATTGATAGGGTCACAGCAACTGTGGTAATTTTTACTACTCAAAGCAGTATTCACAGCTATGGAAATTGTAACTATTTTACCAGCAGACTTTAACCCAAAGTCTAACCTCCATGTCAGTGCATTTCTCGACTTCTTTATAATTTTCTCTCCACAGCAATGTGGTCACCCAAATGGTCTGTAAATCAATTACCAGAATTTCAGTGAAGTTAATCAAAGTTCACACCTGTCCAGAATGTTATATTAAACCAGGACACTTTGACAATGAGCATTGGCATTTTATTCAGAGGGCAACATCACTTGCACAAAGACCGTTGTGCCATTAAACAATTAAAAACGACAGTTAAGTCCCATTATCCCCTGAACTTGGACATAATATCCTAACATGTGACCCAGCGGTCCAGAGGCACACATTTTTTTTTAAGCGACAGCGCTGCCGTATTGTTGTTTCATTTGAATCCCTTGAACACTCCGAATGGTTTCACAACGTTCTGTAAAGAATGTTCCTTGACTGCACGCCAAGGCACACCTCCTTTGATGGCCAGCTGGGTCACGGCACGCATGGCAACGGAGGGCTCCCGCCCATGTCGACTGAACACCTGAACCCGAGACTACCGCGCCATGCGGTGAAGTGAAGTGCTCCTTGGTAAAAAAAAAAACACACTCAACTCAATTGAAATGTGAGGTCAAATCCTTGTTAGCTGCTGGCTTGGTCCATCATGCCTCCTGGGTTGATAAACAAAAAATTATACCGCTGTGGTCATGCCTTAAAAGAAACTGGCCACCGCTCGGGGGAAATTCTGGAATTTTGGTCATTGGCTTGAGGCCACCATTGCATTGTACAGTCTGTTCTCCTATAACGCGGTAGTTGCGTTCCTGAAGAACATCGCGTTTTGGAAAAATCGCGTTATAATGTAGGGTAAAGCGCAGTTCGCGATAACACGTAAGATGTGTACGCAAGCTGAACAAAGATTGAGGCGCGTGGGTAGCATCCAGAATCATCCAGCAGCATCCCGCCTTGTGTGATGCTACGCCGAGGCAGCCGTACTACCGCTTATTCCAAATTGCCTGACGAAGTTCCGTTCACTCGATCACGTTGTTTAGAATTCATATCCGCGTGATAAAAAAATGAAAACACGCAGCATTATAGGAGAACAGACTGTATATTTGAGACAATTTAGACTTTTTTGTTCTAACGATCACGTCTCCGTACCATAATGATTTTCTTGGGCTCCAGGTAGCGGATCCGCACCGTGGAGCCATCCGGTCGAGCCAGCAGCAGCGTGTACGGCCGCGGATACACGTTCCTCGCCGTTCGCACCACGGACGCTCGGTTCGAGTTGAAACGCCGCGACGACGGCAACAACAGCCTCGGCAGCAGACAACACCTGAGGGGTTGGGAAGAAGAAAGCACATGCACACGGTCACTGGTGAGAGGCGAGATCTCTCGTCGAGCTGTGAAAGTGCAGGTGTTGTTTGTGAGCACATTTTAAGGTCGGTACGGCACTCCAGGACTAGCGAACTTTGTCTCCCCATTGGTTATGTTTTTTTTACAGACCATCCCAGGCAGACATGGGGTCATTACACCAGCATTGTAGGATGAAATTTAAATTACCATCGCCATTACAATTCATTGTGAAGGACACAATTACAACTTTAATTGATCCCAGCACTGACTCCTGGTAAGAATTTAAGACAACCGAAGAGAGGTCCAGATATCACTGGCCACTGACTTCCCTGGTCAAGAATCGAGACAAGTTTTTATTTAAAGCTTTCGTGACTGCAGGGATTCATATTCTTGGTTCTTTCGGTAAAGTCACGTAGGAGGGAAACAATAAAATAAAAAATATATAAAACAATAAAATGCTCACGACGTTTCGACTGCAACACAAGCAATCACCATCAGGTGTGAAAACTACAACAAGAAAATTTGAAAAAAGTGGCGTTTTTTTAACGTTAGCACCACGGAGAGCGATTTCACAGTTGGACTCGTCCATCTGAACAAACTGTCAAATCGCTCTCCGTGGTGCTAACGTTAAAAAAACCGCCACTTTTTTTCAAATTTTCTTGCTGTGGTTTTCACACCTGATGATGATTGCTTGTGTTGCAGTCGAAACGTCGTGAGAATTTTATTGTTCTATATTTTTTATTATTTTATTGTTTCCCTTCTACGTGACTTTACCGAAAGAACCAAGAATATGAATCGAGCCAAGGTTTCTGAGATGGCAGAGCAGTGCGCTATCGCTGCTTCACAAACACCACGGTCTTCTTCTTTCGTGCAAGCAGGATGGAAAATCCGAGTTGTAAAATTCATTTTAGTTGAATGTTAAGTTTTTTTTTCCAACAAATCCAAGGGAGGCAGTAGACGCTGTATGGATTGCATACAGTAAGAAATTATTGTTTTCAGCTCCCGGTGCCGCGCATACCAACATTAAATAACATTTCAACGCAGAATTTTGTTTGTCTTTATTAACATCTTTGAATTGTGCTATCAGTGTCAAGTTATGAGACAAAGCCCGTTTCATGTGGAACTTCGGAAGAACACGCTACCTTCCCCAATATCTGCTCCTCCACTTCATATGGGGCCATCCATTTAGTAGGTACGCAAAAATCTGTCAAAACTTGACCCCTCACCCCTCCCTGTACACACGCGGCCTTTTTACACCCCCCCCCCCCACCTGCGTACATACGCTAAACGCACCTCCGAATCCTATAGCGTGGTCAATATTTAATCCACGCAGAAACGATCAAGAATTAACAATATTAACCTGCTTAAGCAAACATAGTCCACCGCCGGCTGCATAAAGAATTAAATTGCATACCTTTAAAAAGTTTGTCTAGTGTCCGCTAGGTTCAAACGTCGACTGAACCCAGTCGAACAGGTGACGCATTATAGGGATGTCAACAGGCGCAGTGTCAGGCTGAAGCACAGCAGTGTGATAGCTGCAGTCAGGGGCACGGTGGCACACAAGTGACACCTCTCCCACAGTCCCACTTCTCCCGGTAGTGCTTGTCTGACAGCCGAAGAAACTGAACCGTGGCTCATTTGAAGGCCAATGTTGACAAATTATTATCGAGGCTTCACCCCCCTTCCCCCGTTTCAATGTCAGTAGACCCCCCCCCCCCCATATGCAAGCGTACGCATGTGGGTTAACCCCACCTCCATGCATACGTACTAAACGGATGGCCCCTAAAACGTAACCTTTCCACATCCAAATCAGCCACACATACAACCTTCTTTCTGGGCGCGCATTTTAGCCAATGTGTTCAACAAGCAAACGCTGGACCGCTTTCTGCATTGAGTGTCTCGTCAGCAGTCAGGCTATCATACTTGATCTCTGGATCAGATCGCATGAATGAAATGTGTGTCGTAGACCCTATGCCGTGGACAGACGTGCCGATAACCGCTTCAGCACACCCGTGTTGGAGAACAAATCACAAATTACTTTACGTCGCAACTTTATTAAAAAGGCGATGTGAGACAAACGTCAATTATGAAACATTGGTCGCGAAAGCCTACGTTGGTTCAATTTTAAATGTAGAGTCGGTGCTTGTTTGAACCAATCAACGCCGCCGGTGAACTGCCTTTGTACAAGGTGCTGTATTTACTCAGTCGCCGTACCCCTAACAGTTACATGTGGCACGGTTCAGAGCAATAATATTGACCCGTATGGCGTGGGGAGGCCCTCATCCAGCAGTGGATTGACCATGGAACTTGCATGCACACATCCCTTACCATCGCATGAATTCTCTCCGGTAAAAAAATAAATAACACATTGCGTCCCAATGAATTATTGTGCGGCTTTAAATGTGAGCGTGTCATGGGGTGAATGGTGGCGCTGGGCTTAGCGCGCGGCGCTAACTAACCCGGCTACACGGAGTTCAATTCCCGGCCACGGCTAACATCAGCGGCGAGTGATACGTAAAGCATTTCCTGCCACCCCCTTTCACAAGCCCTCCCTGACGTTACAACCCCTACGGCCGACATCCAGCAGTTGATTTACAAAGCTGCGAGTTATGTGTGGCATTGAATATACTGTACCGCACTACTGAACATGACATTCACGTCAGTATAAACATACTACAAAGCATCACGTTATTGGTGCTAAATCCGATGTTTAAATATCGCCTATTTGGCGCAACTGCAAACTTGTCTACAGCGTCGTTCTCTCTTTAATTTGCTCACATTTCCCGATTCCCACCGCCTCCACGTTCCCGGCGCGGCCGTGATAGGGCACGTCCTGACCCGGCTAAGAATCTATCCGACAGCCGGTGCCTCCCGGAGGCCTACGCTCGGTTGACCGGCGGTATAGGTTCGTTGAGGGAAAGGAAGGGGGGGGGGGGGAAAACGTAACCGCGATTGCAGCTCGCCTCACCTCGCGGACGAGGAGACGACTGGGGCGAGAGGGGCGAGAGGCTTTACCAATCCTAACAGAGCGACAAGCATCGCCGCGTTTGCGTTCAACTCTGCGCGCGAGGCAGAGTCGGTGTGTTTAGAGGTCAGAGTGACGTCATGTCGCCCAAGCGCTAAATCCCAACGTCACGTCCGCCACCAAAGTTTTGCGACTAAAATATTTAAACATTTTTTTTTTGGGCAGTATCAAAATGATGAAACAATAAGAATTCGCTTTTTTCCCTTTCTTGCAACGAAAAAACAACAGGTGCTAAGATGTTCGAACACCAAATTGATGTTTTATCATTTGACCAGGTAAGGGGCCGTCCATAAATGACGTCACGCGATTTGGTGCGATTTTTGACCCCCCCCCCCCCTGTCGTCGCGGCGTCACAAAAAGTCAGACCCCCCCTCAAATATGACGTCACAAAGCTCTGCCCCCCCCCCCCAAATATATAAAACATGCTTCAAATCGCTTTAAACTATTGTCATTGTAGTGCGTATTTAAATGTGGCGCTAAACTCTGATGTTGTAGGAGAAAACATTAAAAAGTCTATTTAATTAAGTAGCACGTGTTGTCTATATTTATTAAAAGTTGCGCATTTTGATGTGACGTCACATTTCTCAAACCCCGTCCCCCCACCCTCGTCACACATCGTCACAAATGTCTGACCCCCCCCCCCCCCTAGGTGCGTGACGTCATTTATGGACGACCCTAAAGGCCCCACTGAGCTCATTTTTCAGAAGCGAGCTGGCCACGAATGCCAGCTTCGGCAAAGTGGCTTTCTCATCCAGTGGACATTCACCGCAGCCAAGCACTCTAAACGCGTGATCTTCATTATAAATCCACGCGATCACGGGGAGAGAGACACCGCAAACTCAAAAATGTACAGCACAGGGTACTTCAACAAATTGTAACGCTTATATGGGACTTTCGTATTTTTTATGGAAAAAGAAGGGATAATGCACAGTAACGTGATAACAAATGTAATGTTAATAGCTTCAAAGGGTCTCCCACTTGTTCGCCATCATTGTCAACGCGTGCCTGGAATCTTATCCAGGTTGTCTCCAGAGACCGGTCGCACATTTATTGTGGTATTGTTGCAAATTCTCAGAAGTGTTCACATTATTTTAGGCACCCTGGACAGCAATCCAGGTGTCAGGGTCGAGATCGAACCCCACGACCTCCTGCACACCAGGCGAGGTAGTTAACATCTCCTAGCCACCGTGGCAAGGCATCAAGTCTGCACGTTTTGCATTAAACCACACACTACTTATGCAAAACATGCAAACAAACGTGATCTGATAATAATTAAATACACATTGTCTTTGAAACGGATTGGCCTACAGCAGAGACTTCATTATGGCCTCGCCTCGCCACCAGTGTGAGGCCAGAGAACGCCAAAAGGCGAACGGTGCAAAGACAATGCAAGTATCACAGCAAATATTAAAGTAACAATAAAAAAGCCGTTTACTAATGCATGTTGAGCGTAGAGTATTTAACTTTTAAACAATTAACAGTTGCTTACCCTCATTGCCCTCTGCTGCTCGAGCAACGTAGCCACCTATGACACCCTCCATGTCACAAACACCTATGGGGCCGTCCATAAATGACGTCACGCACCTGGGGGGGGGGTCAGACATTTGTGACGATGGGTGACGAGGGGGGGGGGCGTTTGAGAAATGTGACGTCACGTAAAAATGCGCAACTTTAAATAAATATAGACAACATGTTCTACTTAATTAATTAGACTTTTAAATAAATGTTTTCTCCTACAACATCAGAGTGCAGCGATGTTTTATATATTTTTGGGGGGGGGGGGGGGGCAAGAGCTTTGTGACGTCATATTTGACTGGGGTCTGACTTTTTGTGACGCCGTGTGACGACGGGGTGGGGGAGGGGGTCAAAAATCGCCCAAAATCGCGTGACGTAATTTATGGACGACCCTTATCCAGGCTCAAACTTGCTTAGTCTTCTTTATCTGGTGATCTAAATTGGGGGGGGGGGGGGGGGGTCCCTCCGGGTCCTCCGGGTTTTCCCTCGACATTTACACAACAGTCCTTGAGATTGTGAAGATTATTTTGCTGCTATAAATTTCGCTGAGCTATCATTTGTGGGCCAGGTCGCTTTTGACAAAGAAGCTGATAGCTCAGTTGAGCCTTACCTGTTAATAAAAAAAGTTAAGTTCTATTCGTGTGTAGTTTAAAATGATTTGTTCACCTTTCCTATACGTTGCAATCCTGTCGTATTTTAAGTGATGTTGTAACGTTTTGACCTGCCCCTACTGGACATCTGTGAAAAATAACTTTATAGTTCATCGGATTCCTCCAGTATAAATATTCAGATGTTGGTCAAAGGTGGAAACCAACAGCAGTACTGTGTTATATTGAAATGTTACACTTCATGAGGTTTATAAGTCCCTGTTGCTGGGAGCCCAAACTACCACTCTATTATACTTGTTGTCAAATGTGATGTTGGACGGTATCAAGAATGATTATAATGAGCACTAAGAGTATTTTAACCTTTGATTTAAAGCTTTCGTGACTGCAGTAATTCATATTCTTAGCTCTTTCGGTATAGTCACGTTGAAGGGAAACAATAAAATAATAATATATATAAAACAATAAAAATTCTCACGACGTTTCGACCATAACACAAACGGTCGTCATCAGGTGTGTCGGTTTGCATTTTTTTTTATAAATACACCGTTTAAAAATAAATATATTCATGCAAACCGACACACCTGATGACGACCGTTTGTGTTATGGTCGAAACGTCGTGAGAATTTTTATTGTTTTATATATATTATTATTTTATTATTTCCCTTCTACGTGATTTTACCGAAAGAGCTAAGAATATATTTTAACCTTGTGGCGGTTCCCCGGGGTCCCATAGCACCCCGGCTCTTGAATAATGTTTCCGTGATGCAGTCGTTTTTAGTTTGTTGATGGTCGGCGATGCGGCCATCGACTCATCTCGACGAGCTGTACACTACGATGCACCACCGCTACGGTGTGTGCGAGCGTTCAGGGTTTCGGCGCAATCGTCCTCGATGGGTTTCGACATCGCGGAGTGTGCCACTGATTTAGGATTGATTGGTTACACCAGTCGCGGAGTTAAGTAACACCTCTGGAAAAAAAATAGTGTCCCAGAAATCAAATATTTAATTGTCTGGCCCATTTTCTATTATTTGGGTACCCCGGGGGACCGCTATCAGGATCATTCGTAAAAAAAAATGCTCGGGGATTGGGAAAACTTAATATCCCTGGACCTTGCAACAGTTTTCTCTTTGGATACATATTAACAGAGTTCCTGTAAGTAAACATATATACTGCATTATCCAAAAATATGATCCAACGACAGCCCAGTACTTATATATATGGGTTGAATGTAAGACGCTTGTTAACACACGTTAATTTTTTTATATATACGTTGCTGTTGTCTATAATAATGTTAATTTATAATCTTTGGTTTTATTCGAGCACAGCTCCTGACACAGATATTCTGCGTTGACTATTCCACCTGAAGACGGAAACTTGTGTTGCCTCCGAAACGTCGTGATTTAATTGTTTTCTTTTATTTATTTTTTATTTTATCTACGTGATGACTTTACCGAATAAAACCAAAGATTATGAATCCTTGCAGTCACGAAAGCTTCAAATCTAGAATGTGAATTTACATTTGTAATGCTCCCATATGGTAACAAACACCTTCAGGACGCATGAACATACGATGCAGTAATACCACTCCAGCAATGCCCTTTGCCTAACATAGCATCCTTGAGTATCAAAACTCTTTTTCAGGAAGGTCCCGCATTGGGATGTTTGGCATTAATTCCATAAGTGATAGTGGGGCTTAATGTAGGAGGAAACCGGATTATCTGGAGAAATTCCACTCATACAAAGGGATAACACTGAGAGCTCCAGACATATTCAAGGAATCAATTGTTATATAGTACATTGCCATATGGTCATCTTGCACCCCAAGCCTATAACATACCACGTGGTATTTCCTGGCCGCTTCCCATCCAGGAACCAACCAGGCAAAATTCTGCTGAGCTTACACTGCGATTGAGGGTGTTTTTGTGTGGCTCAGGAAGATGTTAAGCAGGTTTTTATTTGTTTGCATCTACTTGCTCATAGCTTGTGGATATTTGTAGGTTGGTGTCAATTACATTTAAGTAGGTTCAGAGGTGTACGCTTTAACAATACAGTTTATGTGAGCAACGTGATTTGTACTTAAGCTTTTAATACCTTTGGTTGTGCACGTACTAATTCACTTATTAATGCTGTTTCGACTGTGTGCTGATACATGTTTTAAATGACAAGTACAAAACTTATATCATTTACAATGGCCATTGTATGAGTGTGTAAACGGTAAGTTAACCTTTTGGGTTAATATAACGAACAATAATTAACAGACGCGACCGTGCATAAGAGACCGACTACTACAAGAATATACAGTGAGGGAAAAAAGTATTTGATCCCCTGCTGATTTTGTACGTTTGCCCACTGACAAATAAATGATCAGTCTATAATGTTAATGGTAGGTTTATTTGAACACTGAGAGACAGAATAACAACAACATCCAGAAAAACGCATGTCAAAAATTTTATAAATTGATTTGCATTTTAATGAGAGAAATAAGAATTTGACCCCCTCTCAATCAGAAAGATTTCTGGCTCCCAGGTGTCTTTTATACAGGTAACGAGCTGAGATTAGGATCACACTCTTAAATGGAGTGCTCCTAATCTCAGCTTGTTACCTGTATAAAAGACACCTGTCCACAGAATCAATCAATCAATCAGATTCCAAACTCTCCACCATGGCCAAGACCAAAGAGCTCTCCAAGGATGTCAGGGACAAGATTGTAGACCTACACAAGGCTGGAATGGGCTACAAGACCATTGCCAAGCAGCTTGGTGAGAAGTTGACAACAGTTCGTGCGATTATTCACAAATGGAAGAACACAAAAGAACTGTCAATCTCCCTCGGCCTGGGGCTCCATGCAAGATCTCACCTCGTGGAGTTGCAATGATCATGAGAACGGTGAGGAATCAGCCCAGAACTACACAGGAGGATCTTGCCAATGATCTCAAGGTAGCTGGGACCATAGTCACCAAGAAAACAATTGGTA